TCAATCAGATTAGGAAAGTTCCCTCGTATTTTTTTTTTTTTTTTGCCACGGAGTTTCGCTCTTGCTGCCTAGGCTGGAGTGCAGTGGCGCGATCTTGGGTCACAGCAACCTCCGCCTCCTGGGTTCAAGCTATTCTCCTGCCTCAGCCTCCGGAGTAGCTGGGATTACAGGCGTGCACCACCACGCTCGGCTAATTTTCTATTTTTAGTAGAGATGGAGTTTCTCCATGTTGGTCAGGCTGGTCTCGAACTCCAGACCTCAGGTGATCCGCCTGCCTTGGCCTCCCAAAGTGCTGGGATTACAGGCGTGAGCCACCGTGCCTGGCCAGTTCCCTTGTATTTCTTGTTTGCTAGGAGTTTTAGCCAATTGCTCTTTTCTGAATTGCTCTTTTCTGTATCTATCAAAATTGCCATATGTAATTTATCACTTTTTCCTTATTAATGAAACAGATTACAATGATTAATTTTAAAATGTTAAACCAGCTATCACTGTTAATTTGTTAATGTTCTTTTCAAGATATTTGCATCTACGCTTGGGAGAAATACCAGTCTGCAATTTTCCTTTCTGGTGATGTCTCTGTATAATTTTAATATTAAACTTCTGCTACCCTCAGGGAAAAAAAAATACAGTATTTCTTTAACAGGGCCACTGTTACCTCTCCTACATCTTTCCTTTTTCATTATTTTCTATTCATACACAGTAGCAATTCCTTCAACACCACAGCAATTCTAAATCCACAACTCCATACCTGGGAGCTGGGTTGCTTAGGCTCATCCATTCTCCCAGGAGACTCACTTCTGGCTCTGTGTCTCTCTGTCAAGGGAACAACACTGCCGGAGGGGCTAAATCTGTTGGAAGAGGAACATAAAGGGGACTAATAGAAAAGCAGCATCAAAGAACCTGAAAAATGGTGATGTCGCCCCTCTTTATTCTATGGCTAAAGAAGGGGGAACAAACCATGCAACAAATAACTGAGAAATACTTTCATGGAGTTAATACATAATCTGATTTGAAATAATAGGTTAGCCCTAGTAAATTTAATGAACACAAAATGACATAACAGACCATATGAGCTGGTGAAGCTAAAGCTAAATATAAGCTTTCTTCCTTAAATAAATACTGGGAGACCATAAAGGAATAAATTAAAACAGGACCTATAATTTTGTTTCTTCTATGTAATTGCCAGGTTTTTGGCTGTTTCTTCTCCAAGGTCCCATAATAACCTGTATTTTAGACTACTGATACAGATCATGGAGATTAAAAAATCTTTGCATTTAAAGTTGATATTACTTTTTTTTTTTTTGGAGACAGAGTCTCGCTCTGTTGCCCAGGCTGGAGTACAGTGGCGCAATCTCAGCTAACTGCAACCTCCACCTCCTGGGTTCAAGCGATTCTCCTGCCTCAGCTGCCCAAATAGCTGAGATTACAGGCGCGTGGCCACCACGCTCAGCTAATTTTTGTATTTTTAGTAGAGATGGAGTTTCACCATGTTGGCCAGGATGGTCTCGAACTCCTGGCCTCAAGTAATCCACCCGCCTCAGCCTCCCAAAGTGCTGGGATCACAGGTGTGAGCCACCACACCTGGTTCTGATATTACTTCTGATAGTTTTGTTTTTTTAATTTTTTTTATTTCCGTAAGTTATCAGGGAACAGGTGGTATCTCGTTACATAAGTGAGTTCTTCCGTGATTTGTGAGATTTTGGTGCACCCATCACCCAAGAACTTCTGATACAGTTCTAACATAGGAGGACAAGTTCTATGCTCAAGATTATTTTAATAAGGACACAGGAAGACAATACTCAAATCAAGATCACCTGAGGCCAGGCACAGTGGCAGGAGAATCACCTGAACCCTGGAGGTGGAGGCTGCAGTGAGCCGAGATCACACTACTGCACTCCAACCTGGGCAACAGAGTGAGACTTCGTCTCAAAAATAACATAACATAACATAACATAACATAACATAACATAACATAACATAACATAAAAAGACCACCTGAAATGGATACAGTATACACTAACTGAATCTCTGTGATATATTTGTTTCTCAAGACCAAACCAAAATAACAGTTCTTTAGTTTTCTCTGCTCATACAGTCAATTTAAATTTATTTTTAAGAGAGAAAAAGAACAAATATTACCAATCTAAATTAGTAATATTTCTTTCTTTCAATTGAGACTTTCTCTTAGTTGACTGAAACTCATGGTGTTTCTACCAAAAAGAAATGTTCTAATAAATACAACATATTAAAAGAGAAAAGTGAGGTGAAAAAAGGGAGATTGTCAGGCCTGTGGTAGCAGCAGTCATCCATGAAAGACAACAGGGAAGATACCATCACATAACAAGGGAAAAAAAGAGATGAGAAACATCAGTAATGCTTTTCTTCAGAATTACTATTTTACTAATTTGAAAAGAACAATTACTGCTGGTACCATACTTCCTCTAATTTGGTAGTTGGGGGCAAAGAAAAGGAAGCAGTGCCACAAAGGAAAGTGAGGCTTCCGGAGGCCACCTACCTGTGTGATCACACACCAAGGAAGGGCAATGCTGCCAGGCTCCCAGCTGATGATCGGCTCCCTGCCTGGAATCCCGAGGAAGCCCTGGCAATTACTGATCCTATCCTAGTGTGGCTGCAGATGCTATTATGATTCATGGAAGTGTCTAACTTTACCACAGTTCTCACAACACTGTGAATACTTCAGGAATGGAGCTTCCTGCTTTAAAAAAACAAGAATGCAAGTCTTTTGGCACACCTCCAGTTTCCCCAACATCAACTTATTTTGACCAAGAAAATCAGGTAAGGAAAATGCTCTCTGTACTACACAGGACCTATTTTAGTGATGTCTACACAATAGCCATTACATGGGAAAACAAAATCAAACCAAACCTACCTGTCAACTTCACTGCTTGTTGGCCGAGCCACCTTGGCTCCTGAAGATCCTAAAGTGTAATTTTCCTGTCCTACAGAACCATGGCCTGTGGTATCAATTACCATGGCTGTTACTTCCTCTGCACTACTCCCATCTTCTCCAGAAGGCTGATTCTCAGGCCCAAGCCACTCCTCCAGATTTTCAGTTTTGATGTGTACTGCTCCAAGAACTCTAACTTCATCATCACTCCGACCCCCACGGTCTGCCACTCCTGTCTCCACATACCACTGTCCTGCTCGGTTGATCCGAAGAATGGGCTCCCGGCTCTCTACATCAGAACTTGGTTCAATGATCTGAGGGCTGGTGGACTCCTCAGGAGGACTTAGCTCTCTGATATCCAGCACAGCACTAACCTGACCTCGCCGGTTTCCCTTTGGGGTATTATGTCGTGGGCTAAGGGAGCGGTTGAGATTTGGTGTAACCCTGTGAGACTCTGGAGGTCTCTCTTGATGCTTTGTCCTTGTTTGACTTAATTCTGCTTCAACCTCAGATACATTAATTTTGAAATGAATGCCCTCCAGGATCTGTGTACATTTGTCTATAATATGCTGCATCTGCAGAAAACTGGCAGCTGTTAGGTAGCTGATGATATCTGCCAGTTGCAGGCATATCCGCCCTGTGTAACAGAAAGAAAGGAGCTGTTCAAAAACAGTAGGGTTCTTGATGACTGAAATGGAGACTGTACTCATCTCATTCAAGGACATGTGATCCCGGAAATAGGGGGAGCTGGCAGCCAGCACCACTTTGTGAGCCCGAAAAGCTTGTCCTTGCACATTGACCACAATATCACAGAGACGGCCCTGCATGCGCAACTGGTTTAGATGGCTCAAGACAGAGTTGCTGAAGTCAGGAATCTCCAATTGTATGTTCCCACCTTTCTCCATGATCGTGCCTGAGGGTACATTCAACCCTGCTGAAAAAAACCATATTCTCATTAATAATTACAATTTTACTTCCGGGACGTTTTCAATTTCAAAAGTATTTAAACATAGTTATCTGGTAAAATTTCAAAATTTTCAGGTAAAAGAAATACCTTCCTTATGTTTAGATGTGGAAACAGAACTACCAACAGGTTTTTAGTTTAAGTTTCACAGGATTATACAGTTAAAACTAAAAAGTGATCTGCAGACTCCTAAAAATTCATGTTATGACCATGCTTTCCTTACTAATAAGGTATATAACATCAAAATAAAGTTCAACAGAAGGTAGTGGGAAGGACTAAGTGTTAACTATAAGGTACTTGCAGACTGAACATAAAATCTCATAACTTTACAACTTTTCTCTGGAGGAGGAAAGCTTTCTGAATAAATGCAATTCTACAGAGATGGCTTGATATCCCTCTTAGTATTCTACTACCTGCTGCAAGAATTACTATTTTATAGAGGGACTAATATTACACATGAATGTAGGCTAATATTTATAAGCTTAAGAGTCAGAGCCCGCCACAAAAAGACTTTGGTTATAGGGCTGTGAGGCAAACTCTAGGTTAGAAAAAATCCCACAGTTGTGCCAGGATTCAACCACGATGCAGAGAATGTGAAGTTCAGTTGTCAAAATTAGCAAAGCTGGGTATCTGCCAAAATCGAAGTTGGCAATTTCAAGGTGGTGGTGATACTTCCATCTTGAAACTTAGTTCTCCAGATCCGATGAAAAAATACAGCATTTACCAAGTATGCCCAACATTTTTCCATTATTTTTTAAGAATGGTTGAAACACTAAACCTGAAGCTGTATACAAGAGAGCTGAAAGTACAGTTTCAACTACTGAAAGTAGTTTGTATAAATCCGAACAGGAAGACATTTACTTGAGCCCAATGTGCATCCACTTATCTATATATTACATAGTTACACCACACCTGAAACTTCAGGAACTTATTCTGCCAAGTTCACAGTACTGCCCCGCATTAACAACACACTTATTAAATAGGGAAGTGTATACACTGTTTTCAACAATCAACTTTAGCCAATCTGACCTTTTTCCAAAGCGTTATTGTTTGTTTTGAAACTTTTAATCCAATAAGAGCCTCTGTCGATGCCATCATGAATTCAGATGTGTTTATTTTGGAGCCTACACCAGCGCCTTTTTTGTTTGCTCTTTCCGGCAATTCCCCAGTGAGGAAGCCCCTGGAGTAAAGTCTTTCGCTACCGTCGGCACTGGAGGGGTGAGAGCTGTAAGAGGGAGAATTGGGAACGGCATGGGGTTGGCCACTCCAGCACTTGAGCAGTTTTCTTCTGCGTTAGGAAGCATGAGGAGAGGGGAACTAACTAAAGGGTAAAATGTCACTGAGGAACTTTGGAGAAGAGGGGGACAAGACGTCGGGCGGGGGAGCCAGCGCTCAGGTGAGAACTAAGAAGGGGGCGGCGCCCGGGGACCGGCTCCAGGCGGCGGCGGGCGGGGAGCCGCCGCGAGGTGGGTGTGCGTATCTGGGTGTGTCCCGTCTGCGGTGGGGGAGGGGGCCACCCATCCCGGGGTCCTGAGGGAGGGGCCCCGCGAGGGGGCGGGTCCGGCAAATCAGCCCGGCCGGGGGCCAAGGGGGTGGAAGGTCGCCCGGTGCCTGGAGGCGGGATGAAGGAAAGTAGCTGAGCGCCCCAGGAGCGCGCTGCGGCGGAGGGCGGGCGAGGTGACCCCGGTGCAGGGAAGTGGCACTGGGGTGTGGGGCCCGAGTCCAGTCAAGGAGCAGCACCTACCTCCGGGGGTGGAAATGGGCCGGAATGGGCCGGAACACCGTCCCGGAAGTGAAACCCCCCACCCCCTCCCACGGAGCGGGCGACGTGCCGGAAGGAAATCACTCAGCCTTACACCGCCCCCCTTCCCCCACCCCCAGAGCTTTCCTTGCCTCGCGCCCCCTCCCCTCTCTGCTCTTCCTCCTCAGTCGGGAGGAGGACGGGAGCACGGCGTCACGTGGGCGTCATGTCTCCGCCCAAAATGGCGAGGAAGGGCGGGGAAAAGGGGCGGGTTTAGGGGGCGGGAAGAAGGTGGTGCTGGAGGAGGGAAAGATTGAGGGGGGTTAGGGGGAGGAGCCGAAGCGGACGCCGCCGGGAGCGTGCGTCGTGACGTCATCACAAGAACTCTTATATGCGGGAGCCCAGGCACCATATTGTCTTTTCGAGGTGGGAGCCGACTGTTGTGAGGTATGTTTTATCTTTGCGAATGTTGCGGGTTTTGGGGCCCTCCATCCTTTGTCAACTAAGGTCACCCTGAACTGACTGGGCCTTCTAAGCCAGTCGTGCGCCTTTGCAGGGCGTACAAGTTGAGGATGGTGGGGGATTGCACGTTTGGTGCATCCGTGACCTAAGCTGCGACTATGTTGTTCGGGTAGAACTGCGGAGAAGCCTCGGCTCTCGTGCCCTGCCTGTGATGAAGCCTGTGTTGGTAGGGACATCTGAGAGTAATGATGAATGCCAACCGCTCTGATGGTGGCACATGCCGAGTCACCCTAGTAAGCTATTGTTAAGGGCCGTGACCCGAGCCTCCATCAGCCGCCCGCCCTCAGGAAAGGCTGGCGGTGGGAGTCCACGTGCTTCTCTAAGTGCCTGCATTCCGCGCTGCCACCAATATTTCCATTAGTGTTTCTTTTTCCCTTTTTTTTTTTTTTTTTTTGAGACCGAGCCTCATTCTGTCACCCAGGCGGGAATGCAGTGGCGCCATCTCGGTTCATAGCAACCTCGGCGTCCTAGTTCAAGTAGTTCTGCCCCAGCCTCCCAAGTAACTGGGACTACAGGCGCGCGCCCCCAGGCTAGGCTTTTATATTTCTAGTAGGTCTCATCATGTTGGCCAGACTGGTCTTGAACTCCTGACTTGGAGTGATCCACCAGCCGTGGTCTCCCAAAGTGCTGGAATTACTAGGCGTGAGCCACTGCGCCTGGCCGTTAGTGGTTCTTAACTGCGGGGGCAGTGCTCCTTTGTAACATTAAGTGTATTCTATACCTGTCGCTAGATAATGATATGTTACCTGCATCATTGATTTAAAAACGACATAAAGAAGCGTGGAACAATGAATGAAAATCTGTACCCGATCTCTTTAGGTATGGTGCTGGGTGTAGATGCAATGTGGCTCTCGATAGCACCTTATGGACAGGTAAGAATCGGGGAAAGTACGGTGGGAGAATGAAATCTAAGAGATGGTTTTAGCCTGTGATGCTTTAAGAGTAGTGGACAGAAGGGATTTCTGAAATTCTATTCTGAGGCTTTAATATTAACAGCATTGATATTTAGCGTGACTGCAGTAAGGTTCATTCTCACTGTTCTGCTTGCATCTTTTTGTTTTCTAGTTGTGTCCCAAAGGAGGGATGACAATAGCTACTGAAGTAAGTTGAAAATTCCTTCAAAAAGATTTAAAGTCACTGGATGTGCCACAATGATGACAGTTTATTTGCTACTCTTGACTGCTAGAATGATGAGGAGCTTAACCACCATTATCTTAACTGAGGCACCCAAAATGGTGGTTTGGGGAACATAGAGAGTACACCTAAGTTCACATGAAGTTTCTTCCCAGGTCCTAAAGAGCAAGCCTAACTCAAGCCATTGGCATACAGGTGAGAAACCTCTATATTGTACTTCTCACTTTTTGAGGGATTAGAAAATAGCCAAATGAATGATTTTATATATATTAGTGTTTTTCTCCCCACTTTTCAAATGAGAGTTTTGCTCTCATATTGATACTAAATTTAATACTGAGGAAAACGTGAAACCAGATACTATGATGGTTGCATAGTTCAGCAGATTGAATAATGAAGAAATGTACTGTGTGTCTGATGTGTCTGGGGTGGTTGCGGTTTGCTGTTACTAGTTAAGCAGTGTACCACCAATCTACCATTAAAATATTCTTTACTGACAATTTTGTATTAAAATTACAGGCATTAGACAGAAAATTAGAAGTTGAAATGGTAAGTAAAATTATATCCAAGTAAACAGGTAACTGGGCAAACTGCCTACGGCACAAATGGCTTTTTAGAGTTACCTCCTACCAGTGCTAAATGCATTAAATAAATGGCGGGTTCTTGTCCTGTTAATGATTAATAAGAAAGTTTGTAAATGCAGCCTAGATGATGATAAGCAAATACTGACTGAACATGAAGGTCTTAATTAGCTCTAACTGATTAAAGGCATTTGTTAGTTTTGGCAGGTGGGGGGAAACTCATCTGTGGCTATTCTAAGACCACTCTTAATTTTTAGGTGGAGTGCAACTTGTCTGGACCAGCTTTATTTTTCTGGTAAGTATTAATGAAAATGCTGATAGTGATATGCTTACTGCTGAGCTAATGGTTTAAGGCTTGGCTGATGAATACTGACTGTTTTCCTTGAACATGTTTGGAACAGTGTGTATTTTCCTTGAGCATGTTTGGAACGGGGTTTGTGTAATGATGTTGATCAAATGTCTGACCTGAAATGAGCGTGTAGACAGAAGGTAACACTGAAGAACCCTGTGACAGACAACTTTGAAAAGAGTTTAATGATGTTTAGCATTTTAATAGAAGGCCTCATTTGTATTCCACCTCCCGGTAACATTTTTATCTGTGGATGGCTTGCTTGGGTAAGGACATGAAGATAGTTCCTCTAGCTTGTTTGTTTCTGAAATGTGGTCTTACTAATTGATGACTGTTACACAGAGTCGTTTTGTTAGAAAATTTTGAAAAGTAGGCAGTATGAAAGTACTGTATTAAAGCAGTTATTTAAAAGCATTAGATAAGATATTTGAAAGTAAATATTTGAATATTGTTTACTTTGAAAAGTAAATGATATTCAGTGTAGGAAATGGTGTGAAACTTTTTCAGGTGCCGATGTTTGGAGACCTTTTAAAGGTATGTTTTATTGATGTTAACATGTTTATTGAGTGAGCTACTGTTAGTGATGATTTTAAAATTAAAGCAGATGGGAATCTCTCTGAAAGAAAATGGAGATTAATCTTAAACTGAAACAGTAGTTGGGAAATCTTTTAGAAATCCACCTATTACTTCTACCTGTTGGTAAAGGAGATTAAATTTCTGCAGGTATGGAGAGTCGACTTGACTACACCGTGTGGAGCAAGTTTTAAAGAAGCAAAGGTACAGCAGTCCCAAGTTGTTGTTTTTTTTTTTTTAATTGAGGCCAGAGTCTAGCTCTTGCCGGGAATGGAGTGCAGTGGCACTATCAGCTCACTGCAACCTCTGCCTCCCGGGTTCTAGGGATTCTCCTGCCTCATCCTCCTGAGTAGCTGGGATTACAGCCATGTGCCACCACGCCTGGCTAATTTTTGTACCGCCATGTTGTTCAGGCTGGTCTCCAACTCTTGACCTCAAGTGATCTGTGCGCATTGACCTCCCAAAGTGCTGGGATTACAGGCGTGAGCCACCGGGTCCCACCTCAAGTCTGGTTTTTAAAGTGTTGTAAAGCCGATACAATGATGATAACATAGTTCAGCAGACTAACGCTGATGAGCAATATTAAGTCTTTCGCTCCTATCTGATGTATCTGGCTGTAACATTCTAGTTTATGCCCTGAAAAGGGGAATATAGTCATTCTACAGTGTTTGGAGATTTTGGGTTACCCTTAATTGTATGCAAGTTGTCTTACTGTGTATTGTCCCTTAATTTCAGGACTCAGAATTCATGCTTGAAGAAATGCAGGTTAGTTTAAACTTTTAAGGAAATTTTTAAGGTGGCAAAAGGTTTTAGTGGCATATACACCTTAATCTGTAGATGGGAGTGATTAGCTGTTTGAAAGTTGAAATGTGACTGAAAAGGAAATTGAGTAGGGAAATTTTAAATGGGATTATTTTTCATCTTCAAACAGGCAGACCTGTTATCCTAAACTAGGTGAGTCAGCTTTTGGTACATGTGATAATTTTCAATGTAACCAATGATGTAATGATTCTGCCAAATGAAATATAATGATATCACTATAAAACCGTTCCATTTTGATTCTGAGGTTACTCTACTAACAAGCATCACACGTTTGTTTTTTGCCGTGATTAATATGTTGTCTTTGCTTTCAGGGTTTTTAATGACTACAGCAAGCAAGCATGTAGCTTTACCGCTTGAAAGGTGAGGATTGGAAATATTGGGACTATTATAATTGCAGAATACATGATGATCTCAGTCCAGCTTGAACTCTCTCACTGATTACCTGATGACAATAAAAGATCTGATATTCTGCATTCCCATGTAGCATTTTAATTGAAGTCTGGAAATGTGGCTAAAAGTCTGTCTTATTTTTTGAGACAGGGTCTTGCCTCATCCAAGCTGGAGTGCAGTGGCCCTTTGAGGCTTACTACAGCCTCAGACTTCTGGGCTCAAGTGATCCTCAGCCTCCCAATGGTCTTTGTAGACAGCCTGATGGAGTCTCATGGCACAAGAAGATTAAAACAGTGTCTCCAATTTTAATAAATTTTTGCAATCCATTTGGAGTGTATAGTATTTACTTTAAAAAGCACAGTGCTTTTCATCTGTTCATTCGTTGTAAGCATAAATCACATTCAAAGGCTATTATAACTCCATGGCATTTAACACTGCAGCCAGTTAAAATTTTATGGGTGTGGGGAAAAGAGATCAGACTGTTACTGTGTCTATGTAGAAAGAAGTGGACAGAGACTCCATTTTGTTTTGTTCTAAGAAAAATTCTTCTGCCTTGAGATGCTGTTAATCTGTAACCGTACCCCCAACCCTGTCCTTGCGGAGACTTGCTGTGTCAACTCAAGGTTTAATGGATTTGGGGCTGTGCAGTATGTGCTTTGTGAAACAAGTGCCTGAAGGCAGTATGCTTGCTACAGTCATCGCCATACTCTAATCTCAAGTACCCAGGGACACAAACACTGCAGAAGACTGCAGGGACCTCTGCCTAGGCAAGCTAGGTATTGTCCAAGGTTTCTCCCCATGTGATAGTCTGAAATATGGCCTCGTTAGGAAGGGAAAGACTTGATCATCCCCCAGCCCAACACCCATAAAGGGTCTGTGCCTGTGCTGAGGAGGATTAGTGAAAGGAAGGCAGGCCTCTGTCTCCTGCCCGTCCCTGGGCAATGGAATGTAAAACCCAATCGTATGTTGAGGTGGGACGTGCTAGCAGCAATGCGGCTCTTTATGCACTGAAAATGTTTATGGAGGTGTTTGTATATATGCACATCAAAGCACAGCACTTTTCCTTACTCATGACACAGATCTTTATTCATGTCTTGCTGATCTCCCTAGTATGACCCTATTGTCCTGCCACTTCCCGCTCTCTGAGATGGTAAAGATAATGATCAATAAATACTGAGGGGTCCCCGCGGGTCCTCCATATGCTGAGCGCTGGTCCCCTAGGCCCATTTTTCTTTATACTTTGTCTCTGTGCCTCTCTTCTCAAGTCTCTTGTTCCACCTATTGAGAAACGCCCACGGGTGTGGAGGGGCAGGCCACCCCTTCATATGGGTATTTCACAAGGTGTCTTATGCGTTAAAGTGCAGTATTTCCTAATTCCCCATATGAGCAAATTGTCAGGTTTCATAGGCCTCTGTGCTAATTGGTTTTCAGCTTAAAGTATTGATGGAGCTACTTTTGAGAAAGTCATGGTGAGTCTGAGGCTGGGAAAATAAGCTATAGAAATGCCCAACTAGTGATAGGAATTAATGGAATTGGGAAAATCTACAATCCATAGCCATGGTGATAGGTTTTTGGCAAGCAAGTGTTTAGGGATGCCAAAAGTGGGTATAAGGGGCACAACTGGTGTTTAAAGCAATCTGCCTCAGGGAAATGTAGGACCAAGGGGCCAAAATTCCAAGGTGGGTGGATTTTTGAGTGTCAGTACAGCTGTGGTTATAATGATGTTAGCAGTAATGGTTTTACAAATCTGAGTTTCTGGACTAAAGCGCTTTAGTCCCATTAATGATAATAAAACTTGTTTCCACTTACCCTCTGAATTCCTTTTTTTTGAGACTGAATCCCTGTTGTCCAGGCTGGAGTGCAATGGCGTGATCTCAACCACTGCTCACTGCAACCTCCACCTCCTTGGGTTCAAGCGATTCTCCTCAGCCTCTGCCATTGCAACAGGCTCATTTTGGTATTTTTAGTAGAGACGAAACCCCGTCCTCCCAAAGTGCTGGGATTGCAGGCCTGAGCCAGTGTGCCTGGCCTCTTCTGGCTTTTTATACTTGACATTTTCTTCAGGACTCCCCATTGTGGTCATTTCACAATCTCATTGAAATGTCAGCTTATGCACTAAATGCATACAATTTTTGTAGATGGGGAATACATGTAAATTTTGTCTAAGAAAAAAGGCCTCCCCCTTCCCCAAATAAACATTCTTTCATTTCCTGGGGCCCACCCAAATGTTTCACACAGGTTGTAAAAAAACTAACACCTGGCTGGGTGCTGAGGTGAGAGGATCACCTGAGGTCAGGATTTCAGGACCAACCTGGCCAACATGGTGAAACCCCATCTCTACTAAAAAAAATTACAAAAAATCTAGCCGGGTGTAGTGGTGGCCTCCTGTAATCCCAGCTACTCCGGAGGCTGAGGTTGCAGTGACCCGAGATCGTGTCACTGCACTCTAGCCTGGGTGACAGGGTGAGACTCCGTCTCAAAAAAGAAAAGAAAAAGGCTGGGCGTGGTGGCTTATGCCTATAATCCCAGCACTTTGGGAGGCCGAGGCGGGTGGATCACATGGTGAGGAGTTTGAGACCAGCCTGACCAACATGGTGAAAGCCCCATCTCTACTAAAAATAAAAAAATTAGCCAGGTGTGGTGGTGTGCACCTGTGATCCCAGCTACTCGGGAGGCTGAGGCAGGAGAATCGCTTGAACCTGGGAGGTGGAGGTTGCGGTGAGCTGAGATCATGCCACTGCTCCAGCCTAGGTGACAGAGCAAGACTGTCTCAAAATAAAACAAAAAACTAGCACCACCTACCGCAAATGGTTACCCTTTACTCTTCATGCGACCACCATTATCTGTGTTTTTTTCTTATTTCCCCCACAAGAATGTAAGCGCTTCAAGTTTATTCCTTAATGTTGAAAAAGATGAATGAAACTGCAAATGTGGTAGATCAGTTTTTGGGGAGGTACCAAAGACTGAAATTGGTAAAATACCTTGATTTAGAAGTGAAAAACGATGTTACATTTCAAAGTATCTTTTCACCAGGTGTGATGGCTCAGGCTTCGATACCAGCCTGGCCAACATGGCAAAACCCAGTCTCTACTGGAAAAAAACGAAAATTAGCCGGGTGTGGTGGTGTGGGCCTGTAGTCCCAGCTACTCTGAACCCTGGAGGTGGAGGTTGCAGTGAACCAAGATTGTGCCACCTCACTCCAGCCTGGGCCTCCTAGGCTCAAGTGATTCTCGTGCCTCAGCTACCTGAGTAGCTGGGATGACAGGTATGTGCCACCACACCTAGCTTTTTTTTTTTTTTTTTTTTTGTATTTTTAGTAGAGATGGGGTTTCACCACGTCAGCCAGGCTCGTCTTGAACTCCTGGCCTCAAGTGATCCAACCACCCCACCATCCCAAAGTGCTGGGGTTACAGGTATGAGCCATTGCGTCCAGCCAAGTTCTATTTTTGTTCCCTCTTTTTTTTTTTTTGAGATGGAGTTTCGCTCTTGTTGCCCAGGCTGAAATGTAGTGGCACAATCTTGGCTCACTGCAACCTTCGCCACCCAGGTTCAAGCGATTCTCCTGCCTCAGCCTCCCGAGTAGCTGGGGATTACAGGCGTGCGCCACCATGCCTGGTTATTTTTGTATTTTTAGCGGAGAGGGGGTTTCACCATGTTGGCCAGGCTGGTCTCGAACTCCTGACCTTGTGATCTGCCCACCTAGCCTCCCAAAGTGCTGGGATTACAGGCGTGCGCCACCACATCCAGACTCTTGTTCTCCCTTTTATATATAAGTGTGATTTTCTGAATCAGAAAACTTTGACAGGCATATTAAAGGATTTAAGTTGTATGTAGTGGCTCACGTCTGTAATCCCAGCGCTTTGGGAAACCAAGGCGGGGGGGATTGCTTGAGTCCAGGAGTTCAAGACCAGCCTGGGCAACATAATGAAGCTCTGTCTCTACAATTAAAAAAAAAAAAAAAAAAAAGTGAGCCGGGCATGATGGTGCATGCCTGTAGTCCCAGCCACTCATGAGACTGAGGTGAGACGATCGCTTGAGCCCATGAGGTTGAGGCTGCAGTGAGCTGTGTTCACACCACTGGACTCCAGCCTGAGTGACAGGGTGAGATGTTGTCTCAAATAAAATAAAATATTTAAAAATTGGATTACCTTATTCAGCAGTTGTTTAGCAGTTTTGGAATTTTAGTTGTTAGTAGACCATGAGTACATGTTATTTTGATATGCTGTGTGACAAAATGGGAAGTATGCATGAAGCACGTCTGCCACAAAGTATGGATTTCTAGATATTTTTTCCCCTAGAAAAAGTAGTTACAATTGTTTGAGATACAAGCTGAACTAGCTGCTTTTTTCACAGAACATTTTTAGTTGAAAAAAATCTGACAAATTACTCATTTTAGGGGTAATTTTGGCAGAGACTTGCTCAAAAAAGAACAAGTAAGCTTGGAAAAAACTGATGGTATTTGTTGCCAATGATAAAACTCAAGCTTCCAAATGAAACTTAAAATTTTGGAAGGCTTGTATACACCTCTGTGCCCTTATAGCTTCCTCAGACTTAAAAGATTTTTGTAATGAGATTGATGATAATATTAATTAATGGTATTTTATTTTAGACATTGTATATCCAAATGTGTCAACATTTGGAAGATTTGCATAACTCAGTGAACCAATTATTTTCCAAATGATCAATGACTGGACTGGTGTTACAAATATCACACATAGGTAAAAATTATATTTAAATATAAGGTACACCAATGGGCTTTAGAAAAGCTCATCAATATGATTTCAGAATCCACATTGCAACTAACCTTTAAGGAACTCTACTACTTGTCATATTTTGGTGTGGTATCAAAGAGAATATCCATAATTATCAGAGAAAGCTATTAAAATACTCCTCCCTTTTCCAACTTTATATTTGAGTGGGGCGAGATTTTCTTCATATACTTCAACCAAAACAGCATATAACAGATGGGATACAGAAGCAGATATCAGAATCTCGTGTCTTCTATTAAGCCAGAAAAAAAATATTTGCAGAAATACAAAACAACATTACTCTTCTATTTTTTTTTTTTTTTTTTGAAAATACT